ACACACACACACACACACACACACACACACACAAAAACACACACACAAACACACACACACACACACACACACACACACACACACACACACACACACATCGCCATCTCCGCAGGCACAACGAGTGGAGAGACAGACCACTAAAGCAACGGTGGACATTACTGGCAGCATCACTCATGATCTCTCGCGGATGGCTTTTGCTATCTCCATAAGGGCGTGGCACATCATTCTGTTCTCCTTATCCGCCGCAGCATAATGTTTCCTCTGCACTTCCACTTCGCTCTCCAGGATTTCGCACTGACGTAACATCATCGAGCATTGCCACTTGCTCGCGCTGTCCATTGTGCTCGCCATAAGCGCACCATGCTTGTCCATGACGTCGGGGACGACCTCAAAGGTTTGTTGCCGCATGTTCTTCCTCTTCCCATAACCGCCGGCGCTCCCCGCGCTGAATGTGGAGTCTTTCGTCGACCCTTGCTCCTCGTCGGCTGCCTCCCCTCCACCCTCAGTGGCTATTGTGTCCCCTGCAGCCCCCCCGCCTGCCGACATCTGAACCCCACCGGCCGCCCCCATGTCCGCCAAATTTTTCGGGTGGATCGTGTGATCCCCCTTCGTCATGGCCTCCATTTCGCCGTACAAGCTCCGGTCCATGACGAAGTTGAAGCCCTCCGATAGTCTGGCCTTTGATGCAAGCTTGAAGTAGTTTTTCCCACCGGATAGGTTCTGGAACTTGTGGACGTTCTTGAATTGGTGCATCAAGTTGTCCCATTTCTTCCCACAGTCGACGGCCTCCCTCGTCACGCCCATGGACTGCAACCTCGCACGCACGTCCTCCCACTTCCACTCCCTCGTTTTCATGCGGGTGAAACTGGTGCCCATGTCGGCGATATACAGATCTTGATCCCTTTTTGACCTCACGAGTGCGATCGTGTCTCCCACTGACCAGAAATTTCGGTCGCCCTCGCCATTACTCCGGCCCGTGTCGTCATCCATTTTTTTGCTCCGTCGACTTTTCATAGCGGGACCCTTCCTCGCAGTCACTCAGCCGTTCGTCGCCTTCCTCCCCAGCGGCCTAATGTCTGGCAAATCGTCGGAGTTGCAATCGTCGTCACCGTCAACGTCGTCACACCCCTGGGCATCCTCAACAGCAGCTTTGTCCCCTTCGTCCAGGAGGAGTCGTTGCACCCCTCTCGTGATTGTCTCCGTTCCACGTTGATGCAAGGCCTGCTTGCACTCTGCCCACAGCTGCCTCCCGTCGCGGTGCACGTCCGCACCTTCCTCACGCAAATCCTCCGGCCACTGCCGTAAAGGAGGAGCGCCGGATCCGCTTCGCGATGCAGGTGACAACCGCATCCACTCCGGACGTTCACGCGCACCGACTCCTCCGCCGACGGTGGACGTCGACTCATTCCGATTACCATCACCTTCACGAAGCGATTGAGGCAGACCGCCGTCTCGCGGCCCGCACACACCACCGTGCGTGTTGTCCGCGCAATCCACACTCGGGTGGGGATTGATGATCCGAGTGTGCGTTGCCGCTGCTCCGCTGCTGCTGGACAACTGGAAGCTGAGATCAACCGATGCATTGTCGTCGTCGTCACCCATTCCCTCGTTCAGCAGTGACGTGTAAGACCACGGGGTCTCCACCCGCCTGCCGCCGCACGACTGCGTCGCCGCCCATTCCTGCGTCGACCCACTTCCCAACGGCAAAGTCGACGACCTGGCGTCTCCCCCCTCGTCATCCGGCGGAGGGAGAGGAATCTCGTGAAAAGGCAAGTGTGCATACAACCTCGGGTCGTACGGCCGCTTCGCCACAGACCCCGCACTGTGTTGCCGATTGCTCGCTCCGGAGGTTGTGTCTGTCGGTCTGCCATTGCCCAGTCGTCGATCCATCCTGTCGGCTTTCTTCGAAGATCTCCTTCTGCGAGCCGCAAGTGGAACGAGGCCGACGAAACACACGTAGAAGAAGACAACGACGAGAAGCAGCACGACGACGAGGACCAGCAGAGGCAGCCTGTGCAGCAGGTCGGCCATGTAAGCGCCGTTCGAAGGGCTTCAGTGTGACGTCGGCGGTCGACCGTTCAACGAACAAGCCCGTCGACACAAGAACGATCGGTGAAAGTTCTGTGCTCCAACGTGCGAGGCGTGACGACAATCAAAGAAAACGACGATCTTGTCCAATGAGACTGTCGTCGTCGAAAGGGGTGCCGGGTGGGAAAAGCATTTGAATTTCAGACCGTTGTCGACGATCGCCCGCCGCAGCAGACCTGACTGGACGCTGGCCGGCATTTCGCGTCGATGGATGGAGGCCTCCCAACGCCGGTTACCGTTTCGAGCCGTTGGGGCGCCGTGCAGATTTTGGACTCAAGGATGTCCGTGCTCTGGTTCGCTGGACCACGTCTGGACCACCCTCGAACCGAAATTGTGTGTCGCTGCATGCCTTCGCCGCTCCGAAATTCGCGCTTCCTTGTGCTCCGAGGGACCTCGGGAGGTCCCTTGGGGTTAAGGAAAAATTGGCTGTGGCCACAAGGACGCCACAAGGAAATCTCCTTCTGGTGTTTTCATATTTTTTTTCGAGAATCGTCCCCAAGGACAGGTGGAACGATCATTTTCGTGCGGATTTCGGGTCCACAAGGAGTGTCTAACGAGGCCCATACTCCACGAAGTGCTCCAGCCACGGGGGGGTCGGATAAGTGAACTTGCTTACTTGACCCCTCCCTGAGGAAGCCATAGTTGCCTGAATATGTCAATAATAACCCCCTGCCCCCCTTTGGAAGCCCCCTGAAAAATATTGTACCTTTAAAATTTTATTGCGGATTCTGACAGCTCTTGAAGAGCGCAGTCGGAATCTGCCCAGAAAAAAAAAAAAAAAAAAAAAAAAAAAAAAAAAAAAAAAAAAAATTAAAAAAAAAAAAAAAAAAAAAAAAAAAAAAAAAAAAAAAAAAAAAAAAAAAAAAAAAAAAAAAAAAAAAAAGATATTTGGGCACTTTTTTTTCAAAACCGGTTTCCCGGTTCACCCCCCCTGGTCTGGTCCGGCTCCGGTTGGACCAGGGTAGCTCAACCGGCCGGTTGCCGGGCCAGCACTGATATATATATCATATATCGTCAAACAGAGCTGCCTTGTAAAACGTAGGCAGAATGAGACGAGAACAACAAACGAATATATATCATCACAAATATATATATACCCACACACATATGTACAATATATGGATGTATATATAGTGTCATTGAGAGAACTGCCCAGTCAATTGTAGGCACAAAGGGAGAAAAGGGCAGAAAACCAAGCTCTTCTCTAAATGATCATATTGACAGACACTCCGATGAAACAATGATGCAGAAAACCGGGGGCTGTGACAGATTGTTTCGTCGGAGTTTCACTGACCCATCAGGAGGCTGAACCCTCTACAGTATGCAGAGTCTTCCGTTCTGATGAATGATGATACCGAAGTGGCTATCCAATTGTGGTTAAGCATCAACGACCGCCCCCCCCCCCAACCGATACCCCTCTAAGGGAGGTGGTGGGCACAACCCACTGCCCTCAAGGTTACCAGTGAGGAAAATTGAAGCAGGGTATTCACTGCCATGGCTTCCATCACACATGAACAATTCCTCCTTTTTTTCCCCCACTTAAACAGTTAGTGTATGATCGTGCCACTGCCGGTGTTTCGAAGAAAAAAAAAGTTTTTTTTTTTTTTTTTTTAACTTCTTTGAAACGGTTTTCACCTTTGCAGTAGCAGATGCAGATCCCAGGGCTCGATCCCCTAGACCTCACCTCACCCGTGTACAGTACCACTGTGTGTTTGAACCCATGACCTGCGTTTTAGGAGTCAGTTGTTGTCTGTGCAATCAGACTCGCTTTCTTCTTTGCTTCACATACATGCAAACAGATGGCGATTCACACTGGCGCACAGCGCCCACTCAAAACTCAGAGATATGGATGTATAAGAGACAGCATCATCATCATCATCATTATGAGCATCATCATTGGTGCGTCATCATCATCATCATCATCATCATCATTACCGACATCACCATCATCATCATCATCATCATCATCATCATCATCAGTTTGTAATCATAAGGGTTGTTGGTGCTGCTCTTTAGTATGATCAGCATCATCATTCTGTCTTCATT